TGTGATGATCACACATCAAGGCAAATTAAGATAATCTTGGATGTTGACCGAGTGTTCAGTAAACCCCCAGATAAATTTACCGGTCCCTTCTTATCTGCGGACGGAGAGGGCATGGAAGAACTGGGGCTGTCAGCCAGCATCATGTCGGGGCGCGATGGGGGCCGACAAAACGAACGCACACGAGGGCGAAACCAACTCACGTGGCACGGTGACGGACAGAGTAAAGGAGGAGGTCGAAGGCTAGGCGCGTGACACATACAGTGAATCGGCCATGATTGGTAGAACACGCACACGGAAGAAAAAAAAGCACAAAGGCGAGACAGTGTCCATTCTCTGAAGATGGGTAGACGAGGCAACTACCCGAAACGTGAGGCTTATAATAAACCTCTCGCGGTGAACGCTCCTCTTTCTTCTGAAGGTGGTATATTGCCGAGGCCACACCATTAACTCGCTGTGAGCCAGCACTACTTCATATTCGGGTGTTTCAGTTTTGTTGACCTGGCTCCGCATCGATACCGAATGAGCAGTGACTTAAACTACCACCACCACCTTAACCCAGGATTTCTGCTTTTCTGGGAGATGAATGGCACGATGCTTGGCCTCTAAGGCGTGAACAAGGCGGGGATAGAGTTATCGGCGAAACTGTCTTGTAGGGCCCCTTAAATATTCATTTCCCGCGCCCAACTGTCTAACGTATTTTGAAGTCAAACATTTAATTCTTGGTTAGTGAGTGTCAATGAATATTTAATTGTGGTGAAGGTTATTAAAAAATATTAAAGTTAATAAAATTATATTTGTTTCAGTGTAATAAATTGAATCAAATCCATCAACATAAGCTCCTGTTTATCAGGATACTAATAACAATGGAGGGAGATTCAACCTTATATTGGCGGAATTTAGCAAAAAAACGGGAATTCGAGCTTATGTTGGCGGAGTTTAACCCAAAAAGGGGAAATTCGGGTCATTGAAAATGTAAAAGTAGGTTATTGTTATAAGTCAACGGCGAAAAGGGCCTCTAAAGACAGTCCTGTCGACCTTTCTAACAAAAGTACTTGGTTAGCAGATCTTACTACCCATAACTACAATAGGTGAGGGAATTCATGCAGTTTTGATCGAAATTGGAGTTGGCAGTTTAGCCATAAAGATAATGGGTAACAGGCAGCATATTTGCGAAATCAGAGGTTGCCTGATATCGAACGAATTTCCTATGCAATCTAATCTGACGGAAACAAACCTCTTATTTTTTATGCGCTTTGCAAGAAAAATATATCTTTCCAGCACCGGTCTAGTTTATAGCTATTTTTCACCTCTGCGGAACTTGATTACTCTTATGCAAATCCTATTTTTCTTAACAAACAATTGGTACTTTTTATATTTTTTTAAGTTTTAAATTCGCCTAGGGTTGTGCATTTGTTTTTTCAAGGGTTTCCTACAGGCGCTAGTGCCAGTTTGCGAGTTATTATCAATATTTCGCAAGTTTTGGCAATTTGCAGGAATTTCAACCCACAGTGTCTCTCTATATCGGTATATGAATTCAGAAAGTGTCAAGGAAGCAAAGCACCGCACGTTAATGTAGTAATGGATCGGCGGTGGGAATGCAAATACTTCAACAGCAGTTTGACCTTACCGACAAAGACAAGGAAGACTGGAATGGCCATTTCTGGCTCATTAACCATCACCAGCCAGCCATACCCACCCCCAGGTGGGGCACCACCCGAGGCTCGAACCCGCGATTTTGTTACTAAGAGGGGCAACGCTCTAACCACATCACCACGGGTTCTTTGTCTCGCCTGTTTCGATCAGAAGTAAAAGATATGCGCTCACCGATCGATTTTGGAACTGGCAACCGAAGTAATTTCTTCGATGGGAAACAATGACAAACTTTGTTATGTAAATTTTTGAAGCTGGTTCGTCGTAAGACGTTTAGTAATTTTCCAAAAGAGTTCAAAGTTTAAAATAACATGAAAAATTGATATTTTTTAGTCATTCCTGTCAATAGTTGCCACTGTGGCTTGACATATCGTCCAGATTGACTGCCGCCTTTTCCACGGCATCCAGTTCGATGTGTCGATTAATGCCCGAGTCATCGGAGTGAATGGTCTCTGAATTTGAGTTGACTCAATTGTGAAAAAAACTAGAGGCGTTCGGCGGGATTTGAACCCGCGTATTAGAGAAGGCCT